CACATGTAGTCTGATATGTATATTTTTGAATTTACTGTATTGTTGCTGTACTTATCCAGTAATCTAAAAAAACATCGGACTCTTTCACCCCCTCGACTGCAAAACGTTTTTAAACATAATCTGCTGATCAGCAGTTTGCAACAAAATATTTGTAAATTCAAGCTGAAAGGAACATATTATTTCATGTCTGCCAATTTATCTGTATATTTTATTCAATGAATTGTGACTTGAAGTTAAGTTATAGCTGTTCAGTATTGTTGGGATATTACGATGTGTAAATCAAATTTAGAAAATAAATTATATACAAGTAGCCCAAGAGCCTTATATATATGTTTCCCTGATCGGAAGCGTGTGTTAAACATGTACAATTCACAAAACATTTCGAGCTTTAAGATCTAAAACGTTTTAATTAATATAAATATGTATGTTCAAGTTTGCTTTTGCTTTCCTGTCTTATGAGAGAGAAACGAAGTCAAACAAATCTCAAATCTCATTTTTTCCCTTCTGGAATGTTGTTATATAAAGGTATAAAACACGCAAACATTTAACAAAATATAATTTGAAGAATGTTCCATACGTACATAAACTACGATGATTAAAACCAATACGTATGTAAACCGAAAATTTGGTACAAAGTTATTTGATTTTCTTCAAACGTAGTAAGAAGGTCAACTGTCTTAAGGGCTCGGCCAAGTTCGATGACCACTTTGGCGGAGTTATGGCCCCTTGATTAACGGAAAACCTCATTATCTGCAGTTTCCGTTTAATAACTAAGTTTATTTTCCTTCGAGTTTCAAGCTATACATTATGTTTCAACAGCACGCTACTCACATGTTTAAACGTAACCACCTCAATAATGTTTATCTACAATATGTCCTGCAAGCGGGGGATACAAATGCCTACGAATTTTCTTGTTAATTACTGTAAGGTGGACATTCGCGTGTGGAATGTGTTGAATACACATGTGCCTAACGATATAGAGATTAATTTCTCATAAAGCTGTGTACTGGTATATTTTGAATAGGCCCTTAGAAGACCTTCATTTTTTCCATTAATTATGTTTGAACACAACAATAATGGGGCAGACAAGTACATGTATATATGCAACGGACGCGACGTTAATCATCTGTTAACTGTTGTTTTCACATGATTTCAAGTCTGCCTACATTTAAAATCATGTAGTTTTTATCCTTCGTCTAGTAGTCACAACAATATGGGTTTTCTTTCTTTTTCAATCTTTGCTCTTTTGCCAACCGCTGAATATATGTTAACCACTTCTAAAGGCTTTGAAAATATATTCCTTTCATCTTTTATAATAAAATTCGCCAAATCGTTTGCAAATCATCGCAGTGAACTACGTTTTGTGTTAATGTGAAAGCATTTTAATCAGTTAACATAATATTTAATATTTCCTATCAAAACGAATGTAAGGTAGAACTAAATGGAGTGTGGCGAAGTTTATGATTTATTTATTACATTAGAAAAACTCTTCCCAGGAGTTCTCTGTACATTTTTGTTCATGTCATATTTCATTCACCACACAAATTCTATCAGGCTTTGCTTATCTATACCTTCATACATATATTTCGTATATATTCATTTTAGTTAGCATAATCTTTCTTTGTAAATTGCATTATGGAATTGATAACAAAGACCACAGAACAAAATGGTAAAATATCACGGTTCAAGTCATAAACGTATGAAATGGGAAAAATAAACGTTTAGCATAAAACGCACAAACAACAAAAGAAATATTTCAAACATCACTTTTATATTCGACATGACCATAGCTTTGATAAATCATTTCTGAAAGCCATACATTGCTGAGCTCTTAGATAAAATAATAAAGATGGTATACACATTAAATAATCAACATTGTACAGCATGAAAAAGATGCCTGGGTCTCGATTGTTATTCTGTCATTCCGGCCAACTGTGACACCTGGTCAAAGGAAGTGACCTGGCTGAAATATGCTACAGCTTTATTCAAAGAGAAAAGAATTTCAGGGTTACTTGATATAAAAAAAACACGGTACAGTAGTACAAAAATCATTAAATGAGACTTTAATAAAAACAGTACCTTCATTGATGAGTCAAGTTAAAAATACATGTAATACAAATAGTAATATACAACATTTATTGAGCGCCCTATATACATTGTAAAATTACTACTTTAAGGCGCATTAAAACACATGAATAATAGTTTTTCTATAGTTACAGTTATGTATATAGATGGGCGGATTGGTCGAGTGGTTAACACTCCGGCCTTCCACTCAGGCGACCGGGGTTCGATCCCCGGAGTTGTCGTACGCATGGAATATTCAGATAAGGGGTTTCCCCCCTGCCCCTACAACTCCAACAACCCAGGTGGAGTATAACATGGTCTGGGGCGGATGTTGCAGTATCTATGCTTTAGCATTCGAGTAAGGTGGGACTATACATGACACCGTTGGAAGCACGTATCACTACAAACAGAACACAATACATCTCCAGCACACACGCAGTGAGATATTAGCCAGTTGGCATAGGACTATTAGTAAGCATATGATAAGGCAGATCCTGCGAATTCCTAAAAGTTGTATTGATTAATGTATACTTTATAGATGCGAATTGTACTGATTGTATAAATTGTATATCTATGTACTTAAAAGCGCTTTAGAGTGGCTTATTCTGGCTAGATAGGGCGCTACATCAAATGTTGTATTTATTGTATATAAAAATGCATAAAAATCAGCATCCTACATTAAGCTTAAACGCAATTCTGTAAAACCGGCTATTCTTGCACGATTGCAAATATATATTACCTTCTTACATTAATGCTACTGTTTGGACGGTCAAATTTCAAATGTACAGAGGGACGAAATCATTTCTTGAAGCTATAATATGTAATTACGAACAATTATTCAAGCAATGAATATATATTGGAAAAATAAGAAATAAAAATCATAAATGAAATAAAATGAATGAGTAAATGAGTAAATATAATACCAAACCAAGTATTGTATGGTTTGAAGCGAAATCATTTTCACTTTTGCAAATGAAAGTGACTGTGCATATCGACACTGCTACTGTGTTATTGGGTATAGATAGACCAATAATTATTACAGTTTAATTTTCTGAAACAGGCAACATCTGAACGCTTTATGCTGGATATAACAGGATCAGAAAAGCGATAATAGTATCGTCGAGAAGATTAAAATTTACAGTACGATAACCTAGTCTATTGGTCAGGATTGCTTTAAATGAACAGTTTCTATATGGTCAATAGACAGGTATTCAGGTTCGTTCTAACTCAACCTCGAAACTGGCCTAGAGATCTAGCCCACTCACACATTGAATCCAAGCTCTCAGTAATCAATAGCAACATTCGTTATATCCTTCTAGAACACTTTTACACTCGTAAAAAATAAATAAAAAAAACCCACACGAAACGCTTCGTAAGGTTTAATTATGTAGCTTGTTTCACAAAAAAATATTATTTAACCCAGAAGGAAAGTGGGGTATAAACTGTTCATATCACTATGATCATACAAAAAAAAAAAAAAGTAAAATAAATTTGTAGAGGGGCGACGATTTAGCATTTTTATATATCCATCAGTTTTTAAACGATGAACATACCTTTTCTTCCACTCTGAGCGAGAACATTTTAAAATCAGGAGAAAAGTTGTGACAGGTCATGACAAAATATTACATTAACATTTCTCAACTAAAATTATACTTTGTTATACTCCTTTTTTATGTATAAGACTAATGTGGTATTTCAAAGGCAGTCATAAAATGCAGATTCCGTACACAGTTTATGTTTACTCTATACACGGTTATAAAATGTGTACAATTCTATTTACACGGTATTTAGGTACATTGTAGGTATACATTGTAAAAAGGGTTATACATATTATTATACACTTTTTTATGTAAACTGTTTACATGTTATATATATGTATTCTGTAAATATTATTAATTGTTATGTAATAATTAATATAGGTTAATATATATACTGTATGTATATGGGTTATATATACTGTGATATACAGTTAAAGTTTGCTGGAGGGAAATGACAATTTCAAGGTTTGCTTCTCTGAGCCCATGTTTTTTCCTGAGATGCAGCCTATGAGAAAAGTCTGATCAAAGGGAACCTGAAACATGCTATATCACGAATCCCGTAATTTAATTGTTATATTTATGGCTATATAAAATGGATGAATGTTGTTTAAAAATCAATATTCAAACCAAAACCTATCTAGAGCCAAAGCTACTCTTTTATTGTCGTCTGGTTTGCTGTCTTTAGCTCTATAAACGGGTCGGTCAGGCCAGTGGAAGCTTCGCCCACCTCTTGCTTGATTGTATGTATAATTACCGTGGAAAAGTTACGGAAATGGCCGAGGGAGTTTGTCTGCAGTCTTCAAAATTGTCGATAGACTGGAAACAGGTTAACACGCGATTAATAGGAAACTAGAAAGGACCGTAAGGACCGTAAAGACAGGGTGAAAGCTAGCTGCGATAACGTAGCCTTTTGACGACGAGATAATTAAAAGTGCTAATCTGTAAGATTACATATAATTCATGCCTCTTATGAGTATAATGTTATCAAAATGTTGCATAATTGTTGAAAAAAACGAATCCTTACCAATGAAAAGACTCTTTCACGAACTTAGCAAAGTCCGTCTTGGAGAAAACAATAGAAACGACCGCAATGACAGATCACGCGTGATGTTATCTGTATTATCCTTTCTATATATGGCCTAATACAGTATTACTCGGGTGTCACCGGTTTTGCTCCATTACAAGGCATGGGAGTAATTTAATACCTGGTCAGAGCAGAGGAGGCCAGGTATTGGTATTAGTACTAGGTGAAAGCGGGAATCGAGTCTATCGAACAAATTATTTTTGTATTGAGTAAATATAGTAGTGGCATAGTAAATAGGCACACTGATCCACTTCTTGTACGCTCTACCGGATATTGAATGACCAAACATCATATGTTAAAATACTTAACAAGAATTACAACATATTTCGATGGAATGCCTCAATGACCTTACTTTGGGGTTTTAGTGACTTGCGCCACTCCTCTATACAGCGCTTGCCGAGATAGAACCAGTCACATTTACAAAAAGCGCTGTATGTTTGCACGGGAAGACGAGGGCGCATGTCCTCTGCCTTTGTATACATTATGTATATCACCTGTTGGTCAGTACTCATCAAGTTCCGGCTGATAAGGTTTTCTACTGCTCGCTTATAGTCCTCAATGAACACAATTAGGTATTCCGGTCTCGCTATAAATATTCCTCCAGCGATCCAAAATATATTATCTTTTATAATCGATGATGCAGTGCGGCATCGTTCAAACTTCCCCATCTGTACAAACGCAATGTGATCGTTCCGAAAATCGGAAGGTATGTCTAGGTGAAATGTTTTCCCATAATCATCCCTAAAATAACCAATGTCAATCCATGCTAGATACTTAGTCTGAAACATTCGTTCTCGTATCACCGTTTCTATTAGCTCGTATTTGGCGTGCATTGCACAAGGATAACGCTCTAACACTGTATTTGGGTGGTACTTTGGGTAGTCTGGCTGCGCAAAAATTTTCTTTATTTTCGGGGCAAGTTTAAACGCCCACATATCATCCTGGTTTTTCATATATATCTTGGTTCGTTCTTTGGGAAGATGCTTACGTAGAATAAACAACTGATTAGCTACCTCTGGTACGTCTGTAAAAGCTATAACATTGTTGTTGAAATTGGCAAACTGATTCATCCACTTGGAGTAGTTTTCGACATCAAAATACAAGTTTCCTTCGCCTTTCTTGAACCTGCCAAGACCGAAGTATGCTGTCACAAACGTTATTTCTGGATCCATAGAATCGCTGTTGAAAGCTTCATTTGGTTTAGTTGGAGGCGGGGTGTAAAGCTGAAAATGTAAAAGATAATTATCGATATTTTGCATATGATATAAGTGGTATATATGTATTTCATATGAACTATAATTTTGCTTTTTTGCGAATTGAATGAGAGGATTATATTTATCACCACAATGCATTCATGGTTAATGAATTAAAAAAATAAAATACATAGATTACCAGAACGTCATAGGACATGGCATAATTTTAAACTGCAATATAATATCTTACCATTGCTGGCAATATATTTTCCCTTAAACAGTGAAACATAAAAGAACCCATAAGACATATTGCAATGCTTACAAATATTCATTTTGTTGTTTGTGAGTTGTCATTATAAGAGATGCGATTGTCTGCATTCTCCACTTAATGACGTTTCTAATGGTTTTAAGTCTTTGCAATAGCTAATGTCATTTCAGGACTTTGTCCTGGAATATGGGTCCCTCGGGACCACTTTAAGTTGCCTACACACACGGGGAAATATGCATATGAAAATTGTAACGCAAGAACTTCCATCCAATCATATTCCGTTGACATAGTGCTGAACTATCTTTACACACTCACATTTAAAACCGAGTTTCATGCAGTGAGTTTTAAAGGCTGTGCTTGGTCACGATGAAGGAATAAAACCCATTTCCTTCCTCGCCTGAGCGAACATTCATCACTACAGCCAAAAGCGATGTTTTGCCAAGTAAGGAACAAAGAAATGAAAGAGTATTAAGGAAAGGGATGAAGAAAAGGGGATTATACATGTGTTTGTTCACGGTAAAGGAATAAAACCCATACCCTTCCATGCTTGTGCGAACATTCATCACTATAGCCAAAATCGAGGTTTTGTCAAGTAAGGCACAGGGTAATAAAAGAGTAGTAAGTAAAGGGATGAACAAACAGGGATTCTTAATGTTGAAATATATGCAGGAGATATATTTTGGTCACTTGTTTGGCCCCAGCAGACGACACAAAAGCAAATCCCATACATTTGATGAAGCGATTTTTTATTCTATTTTATGAGTTAGTGTTCATAGTAAATCTACGTTCTCACTTATTCTGAATTATTGTATTTTCTCATTTTGTTAAATCATTTTACTTATCTTATAAATCGCTGTAATTTCTTACTCTGATTAATCACTTACTTACTGATTCCGATGCATCACAGTATTTTCTGATACTGATAAATCCCATCCCTACTGATATGGATGAATCACGATATTGACTGAGACTGATATATCACTATACTCCCTCACTCATATGAATGACTTTACTTCTAGAATGTTTGGAGTCGTTGTATTTCCCGACTCTTATGAAGACTGTTCAGGTTCGGAGAAGGACCTGTAGTATCGCACTGCATGTTGTAATAGCCGCTACTATTGGCCCTTGCAGAATTGGTGTTTTTACTCAGTGCCTTCTGCAAAGAAGATATGGAAACGACCAAAAGTAACCCGTTATCCAAATTACAATACATGGAGTTTATATCTAATCTCGCTTTCCTAATTTTTCTTTATGGCGATGTCTCCCAACACAACCACCTCCCACATTTTGACTTCAGCTGTTTGCAAGGATACTACGCCAACACAAACACTATAACCAAGAATAAAAGACTCGTTCATGCCTAGGAGTGTATGCTTTAGGGTGGAATTTCCCTATCCTTCACCCTTAGGCATGACAGAGTATTTTTCTCTCATTCTTACCACCAGAATAATTTCAGTAACCATGAAAATGCGTTTGGACTGGCTACCTTTTTGAAAATACCAATTTCCCCTTGGGTTTTTGAGACGAAAACGAATATGTCAGCCAGATTAAGCATGCCCCATATTTGCAAGGAAAATTTGCGCAGAACAATTAATCTCATCTTTCTAATGTGTACAATAGATATATTGTACAAGGTTTTAATTTAGTCACGTCGCCTTTTCTCCATTGCGGCATCGGAGTTTTCCAAATTCGTGACGTCAAGTCATTGTTGAGCCATTGTGACTTATTAACGTAAGGTGAAATGGGGTGTAAGATAGAATTCCCTACATACACCCTTTCTTTACCATGAACAGCTCTGTCTTGCACACTGGGAAATGAGAGAAATGTACTCACTGATTCTGATGAATCATTCCATCCCTCATCGGGTAATTCTTTGGTTATTTGGACTGCAATGATAAAATAAGGATTGATTTTCAAAGGGCTTTAACACATTGTTATTTGAATGTCAAACACCATCTATGATGGAGTGAGATGATTGGTAGGAGTCTATATATCCTGGTCTTTCTTATAAAGAGTCATAAAACAATAATCTTTCATAATAATACAATTATGCATGCTGTAATAGATAAATTAATGAATACTCAGTGGCGTTCCTGGCAAGCTACAGTATATATTAGCAAAAGCGGATATCCACTTACAACAATCAGTTCAATTCATGTTTATTTGACGGCAGAGAGTGTTGAAATCTATATTCTGGGTTCTTTATTTCTGGGACAGTAATAAACTCTTCGGGCATGTGTGTTATTGATAATTGATAATAATCATTCTATCTTTGTTAAACTGGGGCCGCAGTGGGTGAATTGTTAAGGAGTCTGTTGACCGTCTGCGATCACTAGGCCCCCACCACTGGGTCGCGCGTTCGAATTATACGTGGGGCAGTCGCCAGTTACTTCCAACAGGTCTTTAATTTTTCCCGGGTGCTCAGGTTTTCCTCTATCATCAATGCCTGGTTCGTCCTTAAGGGACCAGATAGCTGTTTTTGAGTATTATCATGCTTTAACCGTCTTCCAAACACTGTGGTAGTTTTTTTCTTTAATAATGTTTTTAAATTTCTCAGAACAGTTCACTTATGGACCCGTCTAATTCCTTAATCAACTTCGGCTGTAAGTTATCGGTTCCAAAACCTAATCTTAAGACTTTTCGGTGAGAGAGAAAGGGATAAATGCAAGAGTCCTTATCAGTCATTTAGTAATAATAAAAGAAAAGATATTTATTTTTCAATGTAAAGACAAATGAAAGGCAATAGCCTCCAGTTATATGAAAATGGAAAGTGTATCATTTAGGCTATACTTACGGTATATAACGAGACATAGAAGATAGTATCCCTTCAGCGGGAAAAATTGAACAATAACATCAGGATGGCGATTAATTAAACCGTAGATGTAGCTCCATAGGAATAACGCTTTTCGGCGCACACTCTGTTGGTAAAAAAAACAACACTTTTTGTATACTTCAAATTTCTATATAATTAATGTATTTTCATGAGTAAAAATTAGACAATTATTAGTGTAAGCACTAGGAAAACTCTCCAAGTTTCTAGGAATGTAGTAGAATATTGCTTATATGGCCGAGTAGTTTAGTCGTCTGATCGTCCACGTTCGCAAGCCCTCTAACACTCGGTCTCCGGTCCGAGGCCTGCGTTGGGCTGTCGCACAGTACTGCTCGCAGGTCAATGGGTTTTTTTTCCGGGTACTCCGGTTTCCCTCTATCACTAAATCTGGCTCGTCCTTAAATGACCATAGCTGTTTAAACGGCGTAGAGCACAAACAAACCAAACCTAACCAAATGGTCCGATGAGTTATCGGTTCCTGTGCCTAAATGGTTAGGTGTTGTGTGTTGTTCAAATTATGTACTTTTTATCTTTTGAAAATGGCCGTAAATACAAAACATAGAGTCAAGGATGTTGATGTGCGAATAGGTGAAACAGTGGATATTCTACATTTACGGTCAAAAGTATTTCTCTGTTGGAGAATCCTAGAAAGAATGTGTAGTTTTGGAAACGGAAATGTAATTAGATCAAGTCATATATTGAATGGTAGGCGGCCATATAATTGATCAGATTATCCTGTAAACATGCTAAATTATGAATGCAATGCTTTGAGTTTCTGTATATAGTTTCTTGGTTCATATACATATTTTTATGTGAACCCGCCCATTTATCAAAGTGCTAAGCTTTAAATATATTCCGTTATACGCTAGAATTTGAGTCAGCTAAAACAACTAATTTTGGCCGTAATGAATGATCATTGGATGAAGTATTTTGTTTGTAACATGAAACTATAATTTCAAATTGGCAACAACTTTATTTATTCAGCTGCGAGTTATTTCATAACATGCATATACACAATATGTGCTCAACTGTTAAAACAGTGTTGAATGCAATGAATACAAAGAAGGAAGGGCAATTAAACATTGACTGGAGTGTTTAACCTTTTATAACATCATCACAGACACTGTGAGGATGAATGTGAAGGCCTGAACGTTTTGCAAACAAACTTAAAACTTAATACCCAGAGAAGGGTTGCCTGGCATGCACACTTAACTTTAAATAAACAAAGATGGTTCTGACAAATATCAGATATCATTCAATGAAATAGAGATATTTCAAATACAGATACCTATAAAGGTGGTGTTCTTGATCTACCAACGAACTTTGCAATTTTAATGTTCCGGTGAATTCACTTCAAAAACTGATGTAATTATTTTAAAGCTTGTGAAGAAAAGGCAAAAAGAGCATGCATTGGTATTTTGTATGTTTAAATCAGCAATATAAAAATCATGGCTTACCATGAAAACAAATATCTACCAAATAATCACACTTAATTATTCAAAGTATATTTTTTCTTGGTTTTCTTAGATGTCTCATCTTCATCAGTCTTTATCTACCCCACTAACAAAGACTGATTGGAAATGGACCTAGAGGACATCCTTGGAGGCAGCCACCTTTTGATTCCATACTATATACATACCTGAGTATATATATATATTTTTTTATATTTTTATCATCAGATGAACGCAGGTAATTACATCGATTAATGACATACCCCAGTATTTACCCATCCCTCCAGTATATAAACAAAATCGTTGACTGAAGACATAATATCACCCATTGCTCACAACACAAATTTGCTGTCCCGTTGCCTTGCAAGCTATATTTCAGTGTTTGTTTTTGGTCTTATGACTACACTCTCATTTCATATTCAATAAGTTGTATTTACAATGTCTTACACTAGTCTCTTATAATATACTACTACATTGTATATAATTCTTTTTAAGTTAAAACCTGTTTACAGTATTTCTGGACCTTGATCAGCATGCAGCAGGACATATAGCGGAACATTTTGCTTCCTCAGATGACTTTTGAGGTTTGGGGTCATCAACATTCAACTGGTTTGCTCAGGGATTAGATTCATTCTAGACATAAATCCCAAACAAAATACAATGTCTGGATTAAGTATGATGTTGCAGATTCCACAGATCCTATCAAAGTCTATTACTGTACCTGCCCCACTGGAAAGCGAACTGTTGGAATGTGTACACATACTGCTTAGATATTATACTTTCTGGGAAATTTTTCAAAGTAAACTTCATCAGAACTATTTTGTAAACGTGTGTCTAATTTTAAGAAGTCAGCTGTTTGCTGATATGGGGTATCGTCTGCGATAGCCCAGTTGGTAGAGAGTCCAACTAGTATTTTAAAGGTCGTTGATGTGTGTCCCAGTCTAGCTAGTGCACTGCTCATTTATATACCCCCCTCCCTCCCCTCTCCCCCTCTTGATATGGGACGATGTGTGATTGATAAAAAAAGCATGGAAATAAAGCAAACACTGTACAGTGATACAAGTTATGCATATAATGACAGTAAAACATTATGGTTGGAAAATGTGCATCTGTGACCTAGATTTAGATAAATGCAGATAAATTGTGTTGCAGAGATTCAACACTATAGAAAAGCACTTCCCTGGTGTTTAATTTCAATATTGTTTTGATATGTGACAGTAAGATAACCAAAATAAATTTTGATAAAATATTTTAATGAGACACTCAGAGGAACTCTGAAAGTTTGATGTTTAAAATAACCTACATTAGCAATTTCAACAGAAAAATCATGAAAATCTGGTCAGTTTTTGTTAACTGTCACCTTAACTATCTTACGGACATATTCAAATTTGGTATCATTTTAACTGCTAGCATTTCTGTAATCAATAAAAGCATTTTTCATGGCATAACATACAGTAAAAGAATTGTTAAGGAGCTTCAAAAGGGGGTAACAGGCATTCATTTGACAAAATGCATGTCGGGCCCTATGGGGCTTTTCTTTTTGAATGATTTCGAATAAAACTTATTGTTTCTGTTCAGCCGTAGTATGATTGAAGTACTTGTGAAGTCCGTGCGTGGGCAGGGTCTATGGGAATTTTAACATAGGCAAGAACCCCACCTTTCACAGCTATTTATTTTTGTAAATGTTTGCTCTACAATAATCAATTACATAATTATGATACTTCCGTCGGCGTATTGTGATGTTTTTAATAAGTAATAATTCAGTCACAGAATCCAAGTTCCTCTTCCAAGATTCAGCTGTAGTGAAGAATATACCTTTCCCTTTTGCGTTGTTATTTGATAAAAGGTATTTGGCGGTAAGTGATATATTTTTTTTAATTTTAGTTTGTTTGAAGATTTAAAATGAAATAAAGATTTAAAAGTATTAATTTAACAAGGCGCTAAAGGTTCCCGTGTTTATTGAGGTTATCCATTTTGTGATTTGATAAAAGGTATTTGGCGGTAAGTTATATTTCTTATTTTTAGTTTGTTTGAAGATTTAAAATGAAATAAAGATTTAAAAGTACTAATTTAACAAGACGCTAAAGGTTCCCGTATTTATCGAGGTTATCCGTTTTTCCAAGTAGACCGACAATAGCCGAAGTGTTAAATATAACTTCATGAATCTATCAACATATGCGTCAGATTTCAGTTGAAGGTATTTACTGTCATACAACCGCCCAGTGTTTACGTAATCGCCGAAAATACAAAGGTAGGTGATAGGTACATTGAAAATCAAAAATAGATAGTATTTCTAGAAGACATGTCACAAATAAAGTTGTTAAGTTTCTCAGTTTTTTTTAAAAACAACAGCTGTGACCTATGTAACGACATTAATGTTTACTCCATCTGCTTTAAGGTATTTTGTGTAGGACGAAGAATATTATAGTGAACGTTTCCACAAAATACACATTATGAGCGTGAAACATGCACATTTTTTGCCGACAAAAAGCCTGGTTAAAGCATTAAGTGTTTATGCACCCTATGATAAGTTATATATTTAATTCACATTTCATGCTTTTGAGGATCCCCGTACCACTGCAAAAAAGCTTAAGTACACATTGGAAACTGTTCTTTCCAGCATTACAATAGCTTCAACAAATCATTTGGAACAGAAACTCATCCAATGCGGGATTAAGCATTGAACTGTTTTTGGCACAGCTTTGCAAACAAACAACATAATGCGCGCATTATGTTGTTTGCTTGCAAAGTTGTACCTTTCAAATAGATCATAAATACCATACAAAACAGTTCAATACTTATATTTACGTTTTCTCTGCCTCTTATGTTCTTTTTTAACTTACAATTTATATTTAGAATTTAAATTTCCCGCCTTATCGACAGTCCACACAAATTCGTTCAATAGTTCGCGTGCTGATTGGCTAACAAAGTAGTGCTTTGAAATTTTAACAACCAAAATTCAGTATCTGCAATGGTGATTTTTAAATATTAATCATTTAAACAAGTTTTTGGGATGTAAATATATATATATGTATAATAATTACAGAATTTATATATAAGGATTGAAACAATGTTCGTTGCAAACGGGAGGGAGCATTGCCCATTAGCGTGAATTGAGTTATATATCTGTTTAATTGCTCTGTGCAAAATACAAATTAAGGGAAGCGTTCGCTGACCGTAATGTAAAATATACCATTAGAGTAGGGAGTCTATTTGTGGCTATCAACCACAAAACCTGCTGTACAAATTATTAAGGTGTAGGGTACAACCAACAAATAAAGTATACAAAGGATATATAACAGTGTCTTCAATAATACCAAATATATTTCACGATTGTGGCTAATATTTTGATATCTTTCACGAGTGTGCAACACGAGTGGAAAATAGGATGAAAGTTAAATGTAAAATTAAAGGTTGTGTTCCCCCAGAGAATAGTTTTCCCATTATAGGTAAGTAATTATTATTCTGGGCAGTAGAATGGGCTGATGTATCAGATAGATTTTCGAGGCCTGAGTATCTTTAAGCTAATCAGGCTTTTTCTCATGGTAGTTTTGATCAGTGCTTTGATCGGTCAAACAGCAAAAGTGATATTTTTCACTAATTTCATTAATATTTTTTTTACATTTTTGTAGAATTT